ATCACATTTGGTTACCTACCTTCAATTTGGATATTTTGGCAGTTTGGGGAAGATGTGGTGCAGCTATATACTTTTCCTCTTCCATTTTGTGAATACTGTTCAAGGGGAGCACTGACGAGCAAACTGAGGAAATAAATTCAGACAATGATGAAGTCTAGAGTGCAAACTGTGGTTAAATAAACCCCATATGTTTCCTGTTAAGAAGTATTATATCCTTGTCTGTTTATTACTGTGGGCCTTAACAGAAATGATTGTTAAACCTGCAGTTATAGATCGACATCCAACATAACAATGTATGTTGTGACTTACTCTGATTGTCTTTGAACCACCTGGTATCCAAAACCAGCAGCAGAGTTATTCAGGGCCTTCCATGCCACGGGATCAATATTGAAACAAAGTGCAGCATTTAACACTGAGAATTCAAGAAGAAGGAAGAACATATGTAATTTTATTTAAAGCCACTGTAAAGGATGATAACCTGGTTATATTATCTCTAATTCTAATCACATATGAGGAACTCCATACAGTGTATGTGTTAGTTTGATTCCACCTCTTGAATCCAGTCACAGCTTTCCACAGTTACCACTAGAGAGCATCAAAGTCAGATACTAGATTTGAACACTGGCAGGTAATTATTCACTTGAAAAACATACTTAAGATTTTATTATGGAATTAGTTTTGTGTCTTTGATTCTTATATCTTACTCCATCTGTCAGAAGCAAAATACTGACACTTAACTTAAAGACGTTAAAGATGTCGTTGCTATACTATAATATGAAAAACTATTAATATACTGTATACATTTGCTTATTTTACAGTACTAAAAATTGAACTGTGTAGAGAATGTCACTGGTGTGCATATTCCTCTTTCCTCCTGAACTGTTTGTCAGATTCATCAATACGTGCCACACCCATTTACAAGTAACAAAAAAAGTCTCTGTGGAAGTTGATACTGCGAATGTAAATGCCCAAAGAAAGAAATTAAAATCATTAGCATGTGATTGCTTTGGATACTAAAAATACTACAGAGAACCTAAAATGATTTCTTCTATGACTACTGTCCAGTAAAAATCGTGTATTGTTGCGATCCTACAGCTGTCCGGTTGTTTATTTTTGCCACACAAATAAAGCCTTCCTTTTATGGACATGCTAAGAGTAGTCAAAACGTCACATAGTGCTAACGCTTTTTTGTTTCCTGCTTCATGTCACAGTATTCAACAATGACAGTGTCATGATTTCAAAGTTTTGCGAAACCTATTTTGAAA